TTTGGTTTTAATTGGAAACTGTCTCTTTAAATTTCGAGGAGATCTGTGCGCATGCGTAGTAGAACCCTCCGAGGGTGGGGTTGGAGTGCCCACTAGCTCAGGCACCCCTATAGTCACCAGAATGGAGCTGTGCACAGACAGCAAAGGACCAATGAACAGCTACCAAAAGAAAAGAATGTCCACACCTTTATCTCTGCAGTTCTGCCAGGCGTCTGTGGCCGCTCCTATCCTTCCCCTGCTTGGTCTCACCCAAGATGGTGGCTCCTAGAGCAGCTGAGTGTCCCAGACTAGAAACCAATGGATTTCTTGCTTCTGCCACAAATTCCCCCAGCTGTAAGCCTTCCAACCGTCTAAATATTCCTTTATATGTGATTCAGAGTTCTGGGACCATCCCCTGAGCCTGCTTGCTCGGGTATTCTGTGTTGTTGCTGACGGAGCTCATTACTGCACTTCCACCCAATTCACCATCTTGTTTGTTCTCACTGCTGATGCATTCTTGTAATTCCTTCCCACATCAGATTAGTGGAATTCTTAAATTAGATTTATAAATTCCTGTGCCCACGAGGGCCAGACTGGTAGTAGACGTGAATGAAGTGGCCTGGGTATAAGAATATGGTGGGGAACTGTAGGGACTGGCACATTGGAAAGGAGTGCTCGCTCCTTCAGCCATAGAAGCAGCTCTTCTCTGCTGCAGCCAGTTGTTGCCATCTAGAAATGCAGACCCAATGCTATCAAATCATCTAATGTCATATAGATGGAATTCAAATGATATGTCCCATTTTCAGTTATTGGCAACAAATTCTGTTTTGTTTTATCATGGGTCTAAACTAAATAAATCTGCAGACTAAATCCAATCCACAGGTGACCAGTTTACAACCTCTGACCTATGAAGAACTCTAGGGACCTTATGACTAATTCAAGCTTTCTGCCTCTATGGACTGATCTTCATGTCTTCCTTGACCAATGCATTCTTAGTTGTTTAGGATGATTTTATGTCATCTCTGAACTGAAACTTGCTGTAGGGTACTTCATGTCTTGTTGTGGTCTTGAGTGGAATTAATATGCCACCGCCAGTTTTTCTCATTTCATTAATTTTAGTGAAGGAAATAGAAGCTACAATGCAAATACTGAAAAAGAAGGGCAAGGAAAGAAAGGAAGACAGTTCTGTGTATTAGAAAGCAGTTCGGAGAAACTGTATCCCTCAGGGAAAGTGTTTTATTCTCATCCTGCTGTGCCAGAATAAATTTTCAATTTAGACTCCTTCTGAATCCTATTCCATACAATTAACCCTGCTCCCTATCCTGTTTTGCATTCTGTTGATTCCCTTGAATGACAGGTGGGGTTGTATTTTTTTGCAGGAAGAGAAGAAGAAGGTGCAGGCACAGAAAGAGGAAGTTCTTAACCACATGAATGATGTGCTAGAGAATGAGCTCCAGTGTATTATTTGTTCCGAATACTTCATTGAGGTAACTATGAACACAGTAGCTTCCCCTTCTCACCCTGCCCACTCTGAATGGATCCTGGTCCGTATATGCTGTATCCACAATAGGAAGAAATGCTGAAGAGAATTTTCTTCCAGAAACTGATTGTCGCACTCTGATGTCAAAGAGACCATGAGAGATGGCAACTTCTCATTTGTTTTTGTAGTCTTCTTTCTCCTTATTTGTTCTTAAGTGTTTATTTGGTATAATTAATTTAAGTCACAATAAAGCCTTAATTTTACCTTGGAGGGGAAATAGGACCACATGACATTTGATTTTGAAGTATCAGAATAAAATTATTCAATAAAGCTACTCTTTCTTTAGTCTGAATGGATATTATGCTAAGAGCAGGTATTTCATGGAGCCTTTTAAACAAGGTGGTAAATGTCACCAGTGTGTGGTCACTTTGAGAAATCAGGGGCCAAATTGAACTTATGAAAATGAATCATCTATTTCCTAAGTTATCATGTGTTGTCATGTCATATTTTTGCTCAAAACTGTTTTTTCATAAAATTCTATGATTTATGATCAATACATCTTTTTTTTTTTTAAGTTTTTATTGTGAATTATGTGGGTTTACATGGGAGAACAACAGTTTTACATTCATTCTATC